ATATTAGGGTTACATTAATGAAACTGTCTTAAAAATTGTATGCAAGAAAAAGTTGTTTTATTTAAACCTGTGAACTTCATAATAGTAAAACGTTTTTAAAACCCCATTATAATAGAATAACAATTATTATTTCTGCCTTTTAAATGACAATATTTATCAGGTAGTTGCTGTAACTACAGATGCTTGCAGACATTTACATTGACACATTTAATGGTGATTTTTTTTTTAACATTACTGTGGTCTTAAAGTAATTAATTTTCATATTTGTAACAGGTTGAATCATGGGTGATGCTGCAATGAAGGAATTTGGGGTCGCTGCTTCTTATTTGAGGAAATCTGATAGGGAGCGTCTGGAGGCCCAGACTCGTCCATTTGACATGAAGAAGGAGTGTTTTGTACCCGACCCTGAGGTTGAGTACGTTAAGGCATCTATAATCAGCCGTGAAGGTGACAAAGTCACTGCTGAGACTGAATTTGGAAAGGCAAGTAAATTAATATATGGTAAAAATCACTTTTAGCTGTTTGAGAGATGCATTTAGTTTGGTTCTAAATCACAATATTATCTTTTCCAGACCGTCACTGTGAAGGAGTGTGATGTGCACCCTCAGAACCCGCCTAAGTTTGATAAAATTGAAGACATGGCCATGTTCACCTTCCTTCATGAGCCAGCTGTGCTGTTTAACCTCAAAGAGCGTTACGCAGCATGGATGATCTATGTGAGTTAAAGTTTAGTTTCAATGTCAAACCTTAACTATTGTAGTAAATCATTCAAATCAAGTGCCTTCAATACAATGAAATAATATATTTTGTTGTCTTTCTATTATCTGTTTTTCTGAAGACCTACTCYGGGCTGTTCTGTGTGACTGTCAACCCCTACAAGTGGYTGCCGGTCTACAACCAGGAAGTGGTCGTTGCCTACAGAGGAAAGAAGAGRAGTGAAGCKCCTCCTCACATCTTCTCCATCTCTGATAATGCCTACCAGTACATGCTGGCAGGTACATCATTTACCTTGTGCTTCATCATTTACTGTGATTCTGATCAATCAGTCATCACAGCATTACTATTTTAATTACTTGTTTTGACAGACAGAGAAAACCAGTCAATCCTCATCACGTAAGTCAAATAACTATTTACTTGTTTTAGTAAACAGAAATTGTTGGTCTTGGTCTGAGCCTTTTTGTCTCTTTTCCAACCAGTGGAGAATCTGGAGCTGGAAAGACTGTCAACACCAAACGTGTCATTCAGTACTTTGCCAGCATTGCTGCTGTCCCCAGTGGGAAGAAAGATGCTGCTGCGGAAAAGAAGGTTTGTTTTTATAGAATAAAAGTCTTATACACCAATATCAGGCTAAAGATACATACATTTTATTTCAGAATAACTTGTAATAGCTGAACGAAGATAATATATATATGCACACACACATATATATGTATACGGCCCAGCCAAAAAAAGGTTGCCATCTGGATTTAGCTAAGGTCTATGATGTGGGGTTGCTGCAGTCAGTCAGATCTAGGCTTAGTAACAGTATGTGTTCAAGGAATGAGGTCAGCTGATTACCCGAATATACTGAATGACCAGGTTATTTCATCAATGGATTGTTTCTTCCCTGATGGCACGGCCATATTCCAAGATGATAACGCCAGGATTCATGGGGCTGGAATTATGAAAGAGTAGTTCAGGGAGCATGAGACATCATTTTCACACATGGATTGGCTCCACAGAGTCCATTGAGAATCTTTGGGATGTGCTGGATAAGGCTTTGAGGAGCGGTCACACTCTACCATCATCAATGTGAGATCTTGGTGAAMAATTAATGTAACACTGGATGGAAATAAATTTTGACACTGCAGAAGCTTTTCGAAACAATACCACAGCGAATGTGTGCCGTAATCAAAGCTAAAGGCGGTCCAGTGAAATATTAGCGTGTGTGGCCTTTTTATTGGTGGTGATTTTTTTTGGCCAGGCAGTGTATATTAGGGGTGCAACAATACATGTATCTGGATTGAATCGTTCAATACAGTGCTTTAGGTTTAATRTGCACTTGTATCAAACAATACAGATTTTTAAAATGTATTTTATCATCTTGTCTTCTGAAGATGCTCTGTGTTGAAGGCTCAGAGGATCTACATTTAACTTATCCACCTAGGCTGCATTGTTGAATGCAGATCCACTGAGAAACTTGCTGTTTAGGCTAYATTTAATTTAAAGACTGTACTTTTGAGGTTAAACAAAAGTTCGTAATTAATTTCAATAAATTACAAGTTAGTTTTTGTATCGAAAAAATATTGAACTGTGACACTAAAGTATCTAACCGAATCGTGGATTTTCTGTATTGTTGCACCCCTAATATATATTTTGTGAGCATGATATTGTTGTCATAACGTTTTAAATATGACACTGTGTCTTGGTTTGACAATATCAGGGCACCCTGGAGGATCAAATCATCCAGGCTAACCCTGCTCTGGAAGCCTTCGGTAATGCCAAGACCATCAGGAACGACAACTCCTCCAGATTTGTGAGTTTGTGTAGCTCTGAAAAATTATTAAGTCAAGTAATTTAACTAAAACAAGAGTCTCTTTCTTTAGGGTAAATTTATCAGAATTCACTTTGACAACAGAGGAAAGCTGGCCTCTGCTGACATTGAGACCTGTAAGTAGTAAGATTTCTGAAACGTGTTTGAAGGCAGACTCAACTCAAAGAATTTCTTTAACAGATCTTTTGGAAAAATCACGTGTGACCTACCAGCTCAAAGCTGAGAGGGACTACCATATTTTTTACCAGATTTTGTCTCAAGTAAAGCCTGAACTACTGGGTAAGCATATAAAAATACTACGGTAAGTGGTTTATGTTTTATCAATTTAACATATATATTAAAATAAATATTTTATCTAATTTCAGAGATGCTGCTCATCACCAACAACCCCTATGACTACGCCTTCATCTCCCAAGGAGAGACAACTGTAGCCTCCATCAATGACTCTGAAGAGCTGCTGGCCACTGATGTGAGTTCAACCTTGAAATCAGWAMATCATTTGCTGAAGCTAAATARAAACAAAAATGGCAMTGATWRATTTCACTTAGGATGCCTTTGATGTGCTGGGCTTCACTCAAGAAGAGAAGAACAGTATTTACAAATTGACTGGTGCCATCATGCATTTTGGTAACATGAAGTTCAAGCAGAAGCAGCGAGAGGAGCAGGCAGAGGCCGATGGAACTGAAGGTAGGAAATTACTTTTCAAGCAATTTACAACCATCAACAAAAAATGTGCACGCAAGAAAAAAAGAACGAGGTATTTGGATACCACAGATGACCTTGACTTAATGTCATTAAATCCCCAAAGATGCTGACAAAGCAGCTTATCTGATGGGCCTGAACTCTGCTGACCTCATCAAAGGTCTCTGTCACCCGAGAGTCAAAGTAGGAAATGAGTGGGTCACCAAGGGACAAAATGTTGCTCAGGTAAAGTTATGTAGAGGACTGTGTGAATGGTGCATGAATAWCGTAATGTAAAGTTACGTTTTAAAAATGCTCCTAACTATTTTCTTGTTTAGGTGTACTATGCTGTCGGTGCACTGTCTAAGGCAGTGTATGAGAGGATGTTTCTGTGGATGGTGGTGAGGATCAATCAGTCCTTGGACACAAAGCAGCCGCGCCAGTACTTCATTGGAGTGTTGGATATTGCTGGATTTGAGATCTTTGATGTGAATATTTTTGTTTATGTCGTAGTATATAGTTTTATGCTTTGGGTAACACAATRTTTTTAGACAAATGCAAATAAGAATGGTGAAAGTAATAAATAAGACTGTTCTGTCTTTCCAGTTCAACACTTTTGAGCAGCTGTGCATCAACTTCACCAATGAAAAACTGCAACAGTTCTTCAATCACCACATGTTTGTGCTGGAGCAGGAAGAGTACAAGAAAGAGGGAATTGAATGGACTTTTATTGACTTTGGTATGGATCTGCAGGCCTGTATTGACCTGATTGAAAAGGTGAGAAACTGGATTAAACATAAAATAACATAAATGTTAAAAAATACTACAATTGTACATCTATTTCTCTTCTCTCAGCCTATGGGTATCATGTCCATCCTTGAAGAGGAGTGCATGTTTCCCAAAGCCACTGATACCACCTTTAAAGCTAAGCTTTATGACAACCACCTGGGAAAATCCAGTAACTTCCAGAAGCCTAGAGTTGTTAAAGGAAAACCAGAATCTCATTTTGCCCTGGTTCATTATGCTGGAACTGTTGATTATAATATCAACAACTGGCTGGTGAAGAACAAGGATCCTCTGAATGAGACCGTTGTTGGACTGTACCAGAAGTCTACCGTCAAGTTGCTTGCTACCCTCTTTGCAAATTATGCAGGGGCGGATTCAGGTTTGTATTAATTATGTAATGRGGAACTCTGTTTAGGAGGAATATYAGTAWAATTTGTGAGASCATACTGTAGTAGTTAGCTTTRTTTCCTCAAATGAAAAGGACTGGASCAAAAACACTTATCAAAATGTTGGATAAATTGGTACATTGAGACACTATGAGTGTGACACTATGTGTCCCAACATTATTTGATCAATAAAACATTTTTACGGTTATGCAAGCAGCTTCAGATAACTGCTAGTAAAATATTTCAGAAGTATATAGTAGGATTAGAAAATGGTTAGAATTGTATAGTCTATAATGGGATCAAAAGTGAATAAAGTTGTGATTTGAAAAGTTCATGCACACTATGTAATTTGTTCTGCTCCATGTCATCAGTATTGTTTGAAAATAATCAAAATGTATGATAGATTGTTTTTAAAGTTTTATCAACTTTGCTTTGTAAATTTAGCTCACGAATCTGGTGGAAAGAAAGGTGGCAGCAAGAAGAAAGGTTCTTCTTTCCAAACTGTATCTGCACTGCACAGGGTAAAGTTGTCATTTGTTAAATAATATATTATCTAAAATATATTTTAGATATTTTATCTGGATCTGGAAAATTTATTTTTAATAGTGCTAATAATAAAATAAGTGATCATTATTTTAGGAGAACCTGAACAAGCTGATGACCAACTTGAGGTCGACTCACCCTCACTTTGTGCGCTGCATCATCCCCAACGAGACTAAGACTCCTGGGGCCATGGAGAACCCTCTGGTGATGCACCAGCTGCGCTGTAATGGTGTGCTGGAAGGCATCAGGATCTGCAGGAAGGGCTTCCCCAACAGGATCCTCTATGGAGACTTCAAGCAGAGGTACTAGCTCAGTGAAAATACAAATTAAAAGAATCATTTAATCTTTTGCAGTCAGGTGGCGGTATGCACCTGGAAGTTGTTTGTAATCTGCCAATAAATGAAAAAAAAAAAAAAAGAAGAATCTTTTGCAGTCAAAGTTGCAGTATATTAGATCACAATGCTGTATCTGAGGAACAAGAAGGCTGATGAGAAATGTGTAGCCTTATTCTCCAACAACAAAAAGAAACTAAAAAATAATTGTTGAAACAAAACAAATAAATAAATTTGATAAATGTATTTTGGTGATTTTTCTCATCCAGGGTGTGCTGACAGTAAAGACACATGTAACATATATTTTGTAAATGCTAATGTGAAATGTTAGGACTAGAATCAGAGTTTCCAAGTTCGGCTCTGGGAGAAAGTTGGATTKGTGCTTAATAAAGACAGCCAATGTTCAAGTGCAACAGGGTGAGTTATATTGAAAATGTTAAACAAAAAATATATATATTTACAATATGAACAGTCGTGCATGAGCATAATGACAATTAGTTCAATTATTTCAAAGAACACATCAATTATAGCTGAACAAAACAGTTTCTCAATGAAGGTCTATATCAACCCAAGTGTGGTTGCAGCCCACAGTTCGTATAGTCCCACCAGCCTGTATTATTGTTCAAAGTTTGTTGGTGGAAAAAGAGTCTATGGAGTATATGGAGTCAGTGTATATGGTTTTGTGTGGGGGAATTCAGACTACAGGGCCTCCTACCACACTGATGGAAGTTGCAGTTGGCTTCTTCTCTCAGGCTTGAGGCCTACTTGTAGCTCGCCACCCAAGAATGGGAAATATAGGAACCTGTCCAGTTCCGGTTTTGATCAGTTTCACAAGGCTCAGAATACATCAACACCACACTGGTAGAGTATATAAAATCATTCCCAGCCCCACACACCTGATRCTAAACAAYAGTGTGCAGCCATCTTAACTCCAAATCTCACAGAAAGTCTCATGGGAAAATCCCGTGGCAAGTCTCGTGAGATTTTATACTTAGTGTATGGACAGAAAGGACACTTCTCCAAAATTTGCAGCTGAGGTGGTAATATCTTCATTGGATTAATTGCCATATTTAGTAGCCATCAGCATGTTGTAAAAGTACTTGTTTTACTTTTCATTTTGAAGTTCCTATAGTTTTATGCCTCAGTCTTACAGCACAATACATGTTGYTTATTGCTGCTCATTATCAAGGATGTTTGTTTAATAGTACTTTTACATATTGCACAAAAACTAACTGAAGTTATCTTTTGCTTTTAAAAGGTATCGAATCTTGAACCCAAGTGCCATTCCTGAGGGTCAATTCATTGATAACAAGAAAGCTTCAGAGAAACTCYTGGGTTCTTTAGATATCGACCATAACCAGTATAAACTGGGACACACCAAGGTAAACAAATAAAYGTTGCTTGATTTTCTTTTACATAAGAGAACACAAGTAGTATAAGTACAGTACTGTCAATACTTTGGTGTTGGAAATAAATTGCAAGTAWACGTTTGAATGACTAGTTAAAATGTGATGATTATAATTAGACTATTATCTAAACCATACACATTCACAAATACTGCATGTCCTGAATAATGACTTTATGTCTGYGTTTGAAAAATATCAGGTKTTCTTCAAAGCTGGTCTGTTGGGTCTGCTAGAGGAGATGAGAGATGATCGATTGGCTTTAATCATAACCAGAATCCAGGCAAGATCCAGAGGTGTTCTGGCAAGAATAGAATTCCAGAAGATTGTAGAACGTAGGTACGTACAATCGTACATCTGATAAAAAATGTTCAACAGTCCTTTGATTCTCAATATAAAAGTCAAAAGGTGACCTCACATTCGTAAATTCGATAAAAAAGGGTGTACTGTACATTGACCATGAAGTTACAGAAATAAAATGATTATGAACATATCTAAAAATTATTGTACACAGAGATGCACTACTTGTGATCCAGTGGAACATCCGAGCCTTCATGGGGGTCAAGAATTGGCCCTGGATGAAGATGTTCTTCAAAATCAAACCATTGCTGAAATCAGCAGAGACTGAGAAGGAAATGGCCAATATGAAAGAAGAGTTTACCAAACTGAAGGAGGCCTATGCAAAATCTGAGGCTCGTAGAAAGGAACTAGAGGAGAAAATGGTCTCTCTTCTCCAAGAGAAGAACGACCTGCAGCTTCAAGTCCAGACTGTATGTTAAAAACAATTTTTGATTTAAACTGCTACCATGTCCTGAATGATATTTATAATGTTCACAATGTTCAATTCTTTTAAAAACAGGAGCAAGATAATCTGTCTGATGCAGAAGAACGATGTGAGGGGCTGATCAAGAGCAAAATTCAGCTGGARGCAAAAATCAAAGAGCTTACAGAAAGGCTGGAGGATGAGGAGGAGATGAACTCTGAACTGACAGCTAAGAAGAGGAAGCTGGAGGATGAGTGCTCTGAGTTAAAGAAGGATATTGACGATTTAGAACTAACTCTGGCCAAAGTTGAGAAAGAAAAGCATGCCACTGAAAACAAGGTACAAAAAACACCACTTACTATACCACATTTAATACATACTGTTAAAATTCTCAAAATTTCAATCAAAACTCAACTTTGGCTATAGGTAAAAAACCTGACAGAGGAGATGGCTGCTTTGGATGAAATCATTGCTAAGCTGACCAAGGAAAAGAAAGCCTTACAGGAAGCTCACCAACAAACACTGGATGACCTGCAGAGTGAGGAAGACAAAGTCAACACTCTGACCAAGGCCAAGGCAAAGCTGGAGCAGCAAGTGGACGATGTAAGAGCTTTTAATAGGTTGAATTTTCTTTGGGTTCATTTTGACCATAACAAAGCTAAATACTTTTACTATAA